TACACCACAAAAAGTTGAAAACCAGGACTCTGGGGAGGCTTCATTCAAATTAGTTTATTCAAGTCAGGTTGAAGGAAGGGGATGGGGCATCTGGACTGTCTCCTGTCTGTGTTGGTACCCATCTCCCCACCCTGGTGCTTCTTCCCTGGGCTCTTCCACCCATGGACATCCATGCTCAGCAGCTAGCCCCATTCTGAGCTCCCCTGGGAGCTGCACTGTGTATGAGCTGCCTCCTGAACTGAGGAGTGAGAGGAGGGCTCTCGGCCCCTTTCCCATCTCCTCTTTCCCCTGCACATGCCAAGGCAGCCCCAGCAGCGGGTGAGTGCGGCCCGTCCTGCTCTCATCAGCAAGTCTGCTCCTTGCTGAGCCTTTGTACTTTCAGGATGTCAGTTTTGTTCTGTTTATATGCCAGCAAAATGACCGTGTCACTTTGCAAGTAAGTAAAGCGGCTGAATAATCAGTGTGGCCAGCCACACTGACAGAGACTTCAAGTCTAAGAGATTTCAAACAGGACATTGTTGCCCAGTACAGGAGCTATTAGTTTCTATAAGCTGGTAGGTGCTTTTCTCCTACAAAAGTCTTATCACTTTAAAAAAAAAAAAAAAAAAAAAAAAAAAGAAGTAAGAACCTGTGTGATGTTTTCAAGCCTCCTCTTTGCCAAAAGTAACTACTAATCTTTCCCAGCCCTCATTAATTGCAAATTGTTATTGGCTGACAGGCACCAGTCTTAACCTCCCTCCCAGCCATAGCTCTATGTTCATACCAGCCATTAGGACTCATGCTTAAAAAAAGCAGTAGTCCATGGGCTGCGAGAATACCATTATTTTGAGCAACTTCCCTGATGAATGTTTAAAGTCTTCCTGTTGAATAATGGGTGGAACTGGATTCCACCCCTTTCTTTCCAGTTGAGTAGTAATGATTTAAGCAGATTAACTGGTTAACTAAATGTTATTAACACAGATGTTATCCTTTATACAAAATATCACTGATTACAGAGATCAGCTAATAACAGGGTTCATCCAAAGGCAATGAGAAAACATTTTCATCAATGTCAATGGGCTCAAAATGAAGTTCAAAGTGAATTCTACTAAAGGAGTAAACAAGCTGAGTGTGACCAATAAACTAAAGCCATGCTTTCCTTCATTTGCCACAGAATCTGTTCAACATCCCTGCAAATATTAGTGTTTCTCTTCCTCTGTGTCCTTCAAAGCATCCACCACACAGCCCCATATGTTAAGCACTGCCATCTCTGACTGCATGACACAGGACAGGACAGGTTGCCCAAGAGGCAGCACGCCTCCATTGAGACCCACCAAACATCAACCTCTGCTGAATGCTTCATTGTTTCACAGCCTGGAACAAATAAAATAATAAAAAACCCCTCTCAGTGATCCATGACAAACCAACACTCACAGTGGGGAGGCTTTCAAGTCCTAGCACCTCACTGGGGTCTGCTGGTGGCTGCAGAGACAGAAGCAAATGTCCACTGGTCGCTGGGTCCCTGACAGCAGCAGTGTGTGCAACTCACTGTCTGTGAAGAAATGAGGCTGGCATAAAGCATTTGCTTCTGTTGTGATTTTAGGTTGCCTTCAATTTAGGTTGAATCTATGTGCTTGGTTTAGGATGCATATTGTAAGGTACATGCTAATGTATCTAGCACAGGGGTATATTGGCATTTTAGGATTAAAACACATAAAAACGAGGCCACTGGCTTGTGCATAAACAACATCTCTTGTTTCTCTCTTCCAGTAACTGTGACTGTGGGAGGACAGCAACACTTGCTGGGACTTTATGACACTGCAGGGCAGGTAAACTACTGCAAAACATTTATAAGTTTCCTTTCCCATGGTTTGTTCGTTACTACCATATACTGGGGTTTGTTGTTTGTGCTGCTTGGGGGGGGGGGGGGGGTTTATAAATATTAACAATCAGTTGTGAGTTGTAATGGTTGAACTGCTGACCTGCTTTTTGTTCTCTACATAGAGATTTCATTCTGGTTCAGCAATAAAACACACACAAATACACTCATCCCTAAGACTGTATTTTGTCTAAGCAAAAAACTAAAGCTTGATTAGGCTGTTCAGCCTCCCATATATCCACCTCCTACTGCAAACATGACGTTTCATATAAAGTCAGTGTTTTCTTACATTTACCACATGGTGGCATTGAAGATACAGAGAAGAATCCCGTTTCCAAGATCAGAAAACTAATATAATAGAGCACCAGCTTATCGGTCACCAGCTATTGACTTTTTAAATGGTAACCCAGCCAGATTGGCACCCATCCCTGCATCCTTCTCTCAGGACAAGGGTGTCCATTACAGGAGAGTGTGTACCCCATGCTTACTTACAGAGACAATGCTTTTACTGTTTCCACTGTCCACCGTCTGATACAGTGTGCTTGCACTAAAAGTTTGCCAGAGAGCTTTGGTCTGTGTGCTGATTTCACCCCCTGGAGAGGGAGAGAGGGTATTTCTCACTGCCTTGCTCTGCCAGTAGAAGGGCAGAAAAGGGTGCAGGGAACAGCATATTTTCCTGGTGAAATTTTCCTCTCCTACCATCAAATGCCAGCAACTGGCAGAATAAAGAAAGGAACACAATCCACACAGAAACTTTGCAGAAAATCGCCTGCCGAGAGGGGAGGGAGCAGGTCCTGGGTCCCTCCCAGCCTGGGAGGGCTGGAACCCGCATCCACCAGCTCCTCCAGTCAGAGCTGGCACTGGGCAGCCGAGGCCGTGCTGGCACTGGAGGCAGCAGGAGAGGAAAGCAGATTTGGGAGCCTGCTTCACTCTCTGGGACCCAGCAGCCTTGAATGCCAGGCTTTGCTTTCAGGAGCACTTCTTGGCTGTGCTTTTTTTGGCCATGACTGACTGCTATGAAATGCATAAACAATGCAGAAGGAGACCCTCCTGTCTGCAGAAGGCCACTTATTACAGAATATACTTTGCAGCAGTATGCAGAGGTCAAAAACCACATCAGGACAGACTGTCACTTCCAGAAAAACCTGCACTCAGCAGCACTGGGGCTTTTATGCTTTGGGTTTTGCTTTTTTTCATTTTATTCCTATCACGTGTCCGTAGGAAGCAATGGTCACTTCATAGCTAGCTTGGTGTTACTTACAGTCCACCCATCCTTTCTATTTACATGGTGCAAACAGATGATCCAAAAGCCAGTGCCAAAATACGACCCAAGTCCTTGTCCCATGTTCAATGCACATTCAATTTTCTATTCTGTGCTCACCAGCACAGAGCTGGGAACGTGTCTGACATGATCTGGCAGCACTGCAAGCCTTTGCAAATGAGACTGGAGTTATATTCAGTTCTTAGTCAGATTTTACCCAGTGCCTTAGTATTTCTGCTTGTTTTGTAGGGCTGACAGTTCCACCTGCCACCAATTTCCTCAGCCCCACATCCTCTTATTTGTCCTCCTGAGCCAGAAGAAACACTAATCTGTCTCTTTGACAAACTTCACCCCTCTGTCCATTCTTCCACAATCATTTTGCCATCTCCTGCTTCAAACTAGCCAGAGCACCACCTGCCTCCAAGCACCATTTCTAACTCATCAGCCTCATTTCCCTTTCAGACCTTGGTCCAGAGGACATGGCCATCTAGTCAAAACTCAGAGCACGAGCCACTTCCTGATGATTAGATTGTATCTCTGTGGAGACTGGAAGGATGATGCTTCCCACATGCTCAAGCTATGACGACAGATCATCTGGGTTGTTTCCTCCCTCCTTCTCCTTGTGTTGTGTGGCTTTCCAAAGGCATGAGTGTGAAGTCATAGCCAAAAATAGCACTTGACATTACGGTGCTATAAAACATATGCTAATGAAAAAACAATTGGAAAATGTACTCCTGCAGCAGGACCCTCTGTCAGCCTGAAGGGAGAGCTGGCAGAGGCCCCACATCTGGGGTATCTGGTTTTCTGCATCCCTGGCACAAACACTCCTAGGAGGAAAAAAAACAGTGGCCTTTTTTCCCCAGGCTGGACTCAGGTGTGGAGTGCTTTAACAGGCTGACATAGCAGGGAGCATACATGAGATCAGCATGGCAGCAACGTAAAAAAAAGCAAGTTTTGCTGTACTTTCTGGGCCCAAGCGCTGCAAGGCTGCTGGCAGTGAGAGAGCAGGGAGGGAGCAACACTGGTTGATGCCTCTTGGCCCTGGCAAGTCATAGGCACGTAATTCAGCAAGGCCAGGTCAGGTACTGGCATTTCCATGCCAAACCAGAGGCCAGGCAGTGTAACTGGGAAGCCTGGCACTCCTTAAATAGCAGGCAGCAAAATGCAAGCACGAGCCAGGGAAACAAATTAATGATCAGCTACAGCCCAACCCCATGAGGACTCACATCCCTTCCCAAACACCACCTGTCACTAGCTGCAGCACCTCTGGATATGCCCCATACCCATGCAAATGTGCAGTCCCTTTTTTACTCCATCTACTTGCTTGACTTCAACAACGAGCTGTCTATAAATGAGAAACGATCCCGTTGTGCCATTATCTCATAATGCTCCATTGCAAGGTTTTATAGCCTTCTCCTAGAGAGCAGGTACGAACAGAGGCAGGGTCCTTGTCTGATGTGGTCTGGAGGCTCCTGCCAGCCTGCAAAGACAGGGAAATACGGGAGCTCTGATCGACTCTTACCCATGACATTTGTGCTTGTGTTTTAACACGTCCGTGCAAGCTCCCATGTGCCCTGACAGGAGACGAGACCTCTGCTACATGATGCGTGGCTGTCCCTCTGTATGGTTTATATAACGCTCTGTGCTGCTAACACAAATCAGGAATGCTCCTCCTGAGAAAGGATTTTCTAGGGGCTCTGAAGGAAAAAACAAAATAAAATGAAATGCACACTCCTGTAGCTGTCACCTCCAGGCAGAGCACTCATGGCTTTTAGTTTGCAATTTTAATGGTACAGTAAATTCCAGCCCCTCTAAATGTGCACGTCTGGAATATTGAAACTGCTTATATTTAGCCAATTTCTTTCCAAAAATCCTAAATCATGATTCCTCGAGAGCTTGCTGCCACCGCGTGGGTGTTTTAGGAGGCTGATTTGAAGCGATTAAACCAAAACCACAGAAAATGCTTTTGCCAAGCACCTGGTATCAGCCCATGTTACCTGTGACATAATTACAGAGAAGTCATCAGTTTTGATATCTGGGTTAAAATAATGTCCCATAATCAAGCAAGCATGAGGCCAGGCCTCCCTCACCCACAGCATCCACATAAAACTCGGCCGTCTCTATCACGCACTTGCTCCTTTGCTCCCATCAAGTTGGCATCCACTTTGCCTCTAGTAACTCATCTGCGGGAGCTAGGCGTCATCTCCAGAGCCTCGTATAAATCTTCTCCCATTGACTTTGCTTCTTCATGGCCTATATCACTGATGTTCCCACAAACGTCTCTGAGTTTTCTTTCCTGCCATTCCTTGAATGTGGAGAATCCACTCTTTCTTAGGTTGATATGTCCAAACACCTCCTCTTGTCATGTAAATCTTTCTTCAGATCAATACTTTCTATGATACTGAAAAGACATAGGTTAGTTGACAAATACTCTGGCTTTACCATAAATACTGTGGCTGTGGGGCTGGTAACTGAGAATTTACTCTTCCTGTTGAAGGGGGTTTGGGACGATGAACATTTAGTTAGACAAAACAAAACTTTCTGTTTGTGGTTTAGGATGTTTCTTTAAACTTCTTTTTAATGAGGCGGAGGTAAATTTGGCCTCATGCTTCCTTTCGGAATAAATAATTAAGGGTTTTTGTTTAAAAAAGGTTGGAGCAGACTATTTTTACATAATCCATTAGTATTTTTTGGAAACTAGTGCCGATTCAGAAGTAGTCTGGGTCATCTTATCACTGCATACTCAGTGAACAAAAGACTTGAGAAAGATTTACCAGTCTCAACTCATAATTAAGCGCTCTCATTTTTGACCCATGTATGGGGTTTGCATGACAAGGTTTTGGTAGTGGGGAGCTCCAAGGGTAGCTTCTGTGAGAAGCTGCTAGAAGGTTTCCCTGTGTCTGATAGAGCCAATGCCAGCTGGCTCCAAGACAGACCTGCTGCTGGCCAGGGCTGAGCCCATCAGCGATGGCGTTAGCGCCTCGGGGATAACTTAGTTAAGAAGGGGGAAAACGTGCATAACAGCAGCCAGAGAGAGGAGTGAGAACATGTGAGAGGAAGGACTGTGCAGACACCCAGGTCAGTGCAGAAGGAGGGCAGGAGGGGCTCCAGGCGCCGGAGCAGAGATTCCCCTGCAGCCCTGGTGCAGCCCATGGGGAGGCAGCTGTGCCCCTGCA